TGTATTTTTGAGGAATAATTTTATTATTGAACAACAACCATGTTCTCAATGAACCCAAAAACTCATTAATATCAAAGATGAATGCTTTTGGAAGTAGTTTTTAGTTTGTTTTTAGTTTTAGCTATTTTAGGGGGATATCTGTGTGTGCAGGTGACTATTACTGTGCATAATTATTAGGCAACTTAACAAAAAACAAATATATACCCATTTCAATTATTTATTTTTACCAGTGAAACCAATATAACATCTCCACATTCACAAATATACATTTCTGACATTCAAAAACAAAACAAAAACAAATCAGCGACCAATATAGCCACCTTTCTTTGCAAGGACACTCAAAAGCCTGCCATCCATGGATTCTGTCAGTGTTTTGATCTGTTCACCATCAACATTGCGTGCAGCAGCAACCACAGCCTCCCAGACACTGTTCAGAGAGGTGTACTGTTTTCCCTCCTTGTAAATCTCACATTTGATGATGGACCACAGGTTCTCAATGGGGTTCAGATCAGGTGAACAAGGAGGCCATGTCATTAGTTTTTCTTCTTTTATACCCTTTCTTGCCAGCCACGCTGTGGAGTACTTGGACGCGTGTGATGGAGCATTGTCCTGCATGAAAATCATGTTTTTCTTGAAGGATGCAGACTTCTTCCTGTACCACTGCTTGAAGAAGGTGTCTTCCAGAAACTGGCAGTAGGACTGGGAGTTGAGCTTGACTCCATCCTCAACCCGAAAAGGCCCCACAAGCTCATCTTTGATGATACCAGCCCAAACCAGTACTCCACCTCCACCTTGCTGGCGTCTGAGTGGACTGGAGCTCTCTGCCCTTTACCAATCCAGCCACGGGCCCATCCATCTGGCCCATCAAGACTCACTCTCATTTCATCAGTCCATAAAACCTTAGAAAAACCAGTCTTGAGATATTTCTTGGCCCAGTCTTGACGTTTCAGCTTGTGTGTCTTGTTCAGTGGTGGTCGTCTTTCAGCCTTTCTTACCTTGGCCATGTCTCTGAGTATTGCACACCTTGTGCTTTTGGGCACTCCAGTGATGTTGCAGCTCTGAAATATGGCCAAACTGGTGGCAAGTGGCATCTTGGCAGCTGCACGCTTGACTTTTCTCAGTTCATGGGCAGTTATTTTGCGCCTTGGTTTTTCCACACGCTTCTTGCGACCCTGTTGACTATTTTGAATGAAACGCTTGATTGTTCGATGATCACGCTTCAGAAGCTTTGCAATTTTGAGACTGCTGCATCCCTCTGCAAGATATCTCACTATTTTTGACTTTTCTGAGCCTGTCAAGTCCTTCTTTTGACCCATTTTGCCAAAGGAAAGGACGTTGCCTAATAATTATGCACACTGATATAGGGTGTTGATGTCATTAGACCACACCCCTTCTCATTACAGAGATGCACATCACCTAATATGCTTAATTGGTAGTAGGCTTTCGAGCCTATACAGCTTGGAGTAAGACAACATGCATGAAGAGGATGATGTGGACAAAATACTCATTTGCCTAATAATTCTGCACTCCCTGTAGTTAATGTCATAGATGTTTGTTTCTCCAGTGTTTCTTTGGCTCATGGCATGATGTTGGTTGTAGTTAAGTGATTTCTTGATTCAACAGGTCTGCCAGTAATCAGTCCCTAGTGTGTTTAGTGACACTGACCTCGGCTTTCCAAAAAATGTGGTAAATAACAGTTAATTCATGATTTAGCAAGAGAGGCGATTACCAGGTATGTTTGGATAACCTTTATCCCTTAACACTTAATCCCCCGCGGAGTAGACCGAGTACACCGAAATCATCATTTAAAAATTCCATTGTACATTTACTCAGATTATCTTTGTCTAATATTTGTTTGACGATCATAAACACCTAAGTGTGACATATATGCAGAATACTAGGAAATCAGGAAATCAGACTTTTGGGACTTCAGAGTGGAGACATCATTAGAAGCAAGGCAAAATGTTTCAAAATCATTTATGCTCCATGTGAATAATAATGCTGAAATAGATACAAAGTGAAGTCTTTGAATCTTAGCTGTTTGTAAAATTGAAAACTGAAAGCACTACTTTTGAGCTTTCTGTACCATTAGTCCAAATCATCCAAAAAAAGAAAGCAATAGATCTAAGGATATGGAAAAAAATCGAATTACTGACCTGCTGCATGCATGTGTGTTTTTAACTAATGGTCTGTCTACCTACGTTACTGCAAGGCCTCATATCCTTTTTAAATGAAAATTCAAACTAAAAATAAACACAGCACATGGGAGGTGCTGAGAATCCTAACAGTTACAAAAATACAAACTCTCCAGGTGGTAGCTAATCTTCCTTGGAACTTGGAGAGAAAAAACAAGAAGTGAAAAAAAGCGCAGTGCACTCAGCTTGTGATTAAAATAAATTAGCCACCCATGGCAGCAATGAGCACTGCTGAGCCAGTCAGTGTGAGAGAAAGAAATCCCTTCCCACTGTCTTTGATTTGATAAGGTCTGACATTAATGGAAGTCAGAATAAATAATGTTTTTTGCTGCTTTACATCAGCCAGACATTTTTATCCTGGTAATCCTGCATTAATTCATTCTTTCACTCGCGGGTCAAAACAAACAAGCTGTAAACATAGCATCAACATGTTATCACCTCATTAAGTTGCCATGGTAAACATGTTAGCACACAATGGCCTATTTAACATTAGACAGATATGAGGCAACTAAAACGAACTCCCAACTCTTGAGCCATGATCGCCCCCACCAGCAAATTTTGTTGTTGTTGTTATTTTACAAACTTTCCAAAAAGTCTGGTACATTTTAACTCTTGAGTGCTGATATGTGTGTGCCTTTAGATCATGTGTCAACCTCAATGACTGGGCAATAAAGTTCAAAACAACTCTCGCCATTGAGTTTGGCTCCAAAAATGAATCCGTCTTGATAGATGTCAATATTATAATTATCGACTTTACAGCAGAAAAACAAAATGTTGTTACTGGTAGCTGTTTTATTTCAATAGCAAGATTTTATCTTTATAACTGTTCTGGCTATGTTTATTTTATACCTCACCTCTTTAAACTGCATAAAGAATTAAAGTTTGCATTGTTAGGTGTTTGGCTGCTTTGAGTGGAAGCTAACCCTAATACTGGCTGTAGCAGTTAGCTGCCTGCTAAACTTAACCCTGGAGAAACCATGGGGTCAACCAATGGGGTCGGCTCTGACCCCATTGGTTCTCCGGGGTTAAGCACAGCTAACCTGGATCTGCGAACTGGACTCTCGATCGAGTTTTTTTGGTTTGTTGTGTGTGTTGGTGCCTTTTGAAGCAATTTTAATAATTAATATTATGTCCTGCTGTGCTCTTAACAGCTTGCCCAAGATGGCTGTGCATCAGTCTTGGTGAGTCACATAAAAGCATTTCATTTGCATGTTGCTTATTACTAATTAGCAGATGTCTGTGTTTGTGGCATGCACCCACACAGTTTATGGATGCAGCTTGCTAATGAAGCCTATTAATGTTATCTGATAACTTAGCACTCCATCTTCCCATTAAATGTAATGACTTATGACTCCAAAAACAATGAAATAGTGTTAAAATCAAATCAGCACTTCAATAGGTCACCATGGTTTCATGATTAATAGATTAAAAAACAAAGTAGGAAACTACCACATCTTTATAGAGTTGCAGAAATGAGTCCTAAAACTTGGATATTAATTAGTATTTTTTTCAGTTGTCTGTTGAACATAAGCGTTATGTCTACATGTTATGTTCGATATCATAATGCACAAGTAACTACTTCTTGCATCGCTCTGTATAAAGTATTGACATTGTTGTAGTGACTGGTGTGAGTCCATGCACATGCCATCGTGCAGCAGGTGCAGTGTGTATGACGTTTCATGCACACCTGCACTCTCATTTAGAGAAAGTGTTTTTTTAACTTACATGATTGTACTTACACATCAAGGATTATAAAATTACTTTATCTCTATTCTAGAAAAAAAATGTAAGTGTCCAGGACACTATGGAAAATCCCACTGGCTGTGATATTGGTATCTTAAAATGGTTTATATACTGAATGTTTTGTGGTTGTTTTTACACAATTTGTATTCATGTATATGTTGGTATCTTTCAAAATACAGAAAAGAGTTTGCAGTCGGCTCGTCTTGCTCTGCTGTGGAGTTACTTTGTTCACCAGCAGGGCAAAGAAACCAAAGATAATAAGAAAAAGATGGGAAAAAAGCCAAAACATGAGCTAAACTAAAATGTTCTGCAGAGCTTTAATTCTGCCTTGACTGAAATATTTCCCATGCATTTTACTGTTGTTTATATGACAAAAAAATACTGTTGGTTTAACGAAATTTGACTGTCACAATTTAGTTCATATCGCAAAGTTTGTTCTTAATGCTTGAGTGCCTGAAACGCTTCCATGAAATGCTTATCGAGAAGTTTGATGCCTGACATTTTTGTCTGCTTCCGTGTTGCTAAATCTCCTTCATAACCTGATTTCTCCCAAGTTTTTGTATACATGCAAATGTGCGGTGTAAGAAAAAGATGTTGATAAAAGACAAAATGTGAAGAAAAGCAACAAGAAAGGGAAATAAAACAAAAAACAAGGGGCAAAGACATTAAAAGAGGTGGAAACACTGAGAGAGATATGAAGAGAAAGACAAAAGAGAAAGATGGGAAAAGTCAGAGTAAAGTAAAAGTAAATGGAGCGAGCTGGAGATGGAAGCATGGAAAGGAGAATACGATCAAATAAAGCAGTGACAGCGGGGGAAACCAGAAGTGAGAAAGCGCAGGAGAGGGAGAGGCTTGGTTGACACATAAAACAAAGATGAGACAACTACAGAGAGCGAAAGAGGCATTTGTGGAGAAGAAGCTGTTGCTGGAAAATGCAGATACACACCTCGGAGAGAGAAAAGAAAGAAGCGCAGGGATTTAGCTCGTGGAGGGGCCAGAGAGGAGAAGGAGGAGGAAGATAAGAGGAGGAGGAGGAGGGAAGGGAAGCGCTAAAGAGGAGGGGAGGGGACGAAAGAGGCAAGGGAGGACCAGTACGAGGAGAGAGGGAGAGAGAGGCAGATACGGAGGTCCACAGACAGCAGCGGCGTGCAGAGTGCAGCATGCAGACTGGCCACTGACGCTGCTGTTGGATTGAACACACATGCGGACACACACACACCCCTGAGGAGTGTATGAGACATGCCCAGGCTGCTGTCCATGGACACACACACACTGGCAGGGCACCAGAGAGGAAATACAGCAAACCCCCGAGCCTGAGGAGCTATGGAGAGCAGCATGTTCTTTGGTGAGTGTCTATATTTATGTGTGGATGTGGAGTGTTTACACAGAGCACCTCCTCATCGTGTGTGAGAATCAGTGCAAAGTCCTTCCTTTAAAAGCATGGGAGTAAAAGCACAGGTTTCCTTTGCAGGAAAAGAACGTGAAGTTACAAACCTAAGAGACCTCTTTTTGTCTGCGTGTGTGTTTTCGCTGCTTTATCACAGTCAAATGCAGAGTGAAAGTGCACATTTTCTCCTCTCCAAAATGTAAATATGTTACAACCTGCCTGTTACTTGTTCTGGAAACTAAAAAAAGGCGGCTAGGGGAGCTGCTCGCTGGAAGCGTGAAGTTGCTCACGGAGGGCTCCTAAAAATGTTGAATGAACCTGCTCATCAGGTAAACGCCTTCCTAAAGCTCATGTATGAGTTTATTGGACTCAATCCTGGGTGGCTGAGAATCCAAGCTTTGGATTTCATTGTGGATGTTTAACCAGCTGACACTCTGGAGGAATCTAAATAAGACTGGAGTCTCCTGGCTTGGGCGCAACTTGATATTCAGTGTAGGTTAGTTAAAGAAATTGACGAAAGGCCCCTTCCATTAGTTTTTATGGAGAAGACTGAAGGAGGCTTTGGAAGACTTAATGCGCGAGCGACTTCAAGTCAAGTGCTCTTCTCACGGCTGGCTTACAGTCACATCGGAGAAATAATTACACAGGGATCCGGAGTTCTAAGGGGGCGATTTGTTAAATGAAATACTTTTCTCTATTCAAGGGATTAAAGCGATCTGAAGTTACAGACCGTGGCTTGTAAGCATCAGAAGGATTTTCTCTTGTTATGCCATACACAGAGGAGGAGGAGGAGGAGGGAGGGAGGAAAGGAGAGCTGGAAGCTTATAAATGAATAAGCTGTCAGGTGTAGAGACAGCTTGAGCTCTTTGAGATCCACAGTCGATGTCGGTCAGGTGTGAAACTGCTGGATAGCGAAGAAAAAATAAAGGTAGTGCAGGTCTGGCTGGATTAGTGGGTTTCAAGTTTGGGCCCGTTTAACCCAAAATCATAAGAAGTGAAAGTGAAAACGCCAAGAAGAACTCAGAGGTTTCGTCAGAAGGTCACGCTTGTTTTCTTTTCATTCTCATCAGGTGGAATACTAAGAGGCACCTCATCGCCACTGCTCAGTGTAAAACAAATGAAAGGGTAAAGGTCACTGCATACTGGGTGTGCATCGGTTCAGCATTTATGAACGCAATCCTGAGTGCACTGTATGGAGAAAATGGATGGTATCTCTTAAAAGATTAATAATGCTGTTTGTACTCTCGCTCTGCATTGCTGCAGTTTTAACTGGAGCTTGTTTTCCATTGAGGTGATTAATATCAAGTGACTTATGCTGACCTCTTCGAAACAAGATTCCAGTAGTGTAGGAATAAAAATAAACAGAGCAGAAACAAACGCTAATCTCTCATACATCACAATCAGTAAATGAACTCTGAGCGGGGTAATAGGTGCTGAGTGTGGGCTACAATCATACAAGCTATTAGCGCTGTTGAGTCAGAGGCCCAGAAGATATCTAGCTGGTGTGTTTGCCACTGTGGTCGGCGTTTAGCCTCACATAAACATCTTTTTGGTTAACCTCAGATTACAGAGTGCATGGGAAGTGATTGTTGGAGCCAATTCATAGACAGCTGTGTTTATCAGTGGGCTAAACTCATGACAACTACAGTATGCTAATCTGAAGGGACTAGAGGTAGCATGTGTTATGTAGCAGGAAGCCAGATTTATGCCACACGCCGCTGAGATTTATGAAATTTCAAGAGTAGAGAGTTTATCCTGTAAAGGTTAATTGGAAAATGGGTGAACGTGTAGCTTTCAAAAAGTAAGAATGTTCTAAATCTACCCTTTGTACTCACTTTGTTCATTTTAATGGGGGTGAAATGATTTTATGCTGCGTGCTTGAAGGGAATTGCTGATCTCACAGCATGTTAAGGGTCACAGAATACAATCAGGAAACTCCGCAAAAACACAAAAGTGTTAATCACATCTGGAACGTCATCAGCATATGAATGAGTTTGTAGGGGAATTCAGATTTATCTAATAATTGGATTTATATTTGCTGAGAGAACTAGATGGCCGCGCGAGAGCAAGCTTGTTATTTTGAGACTCTCTGGCAGCGCTGGCTCTTGGTCTCTCTGGGCAGATCTTATCGGAGGAACTGCCAGGTTCAGGACAGTAAGAGGAGGCAGAAGGTGGAGGAGAGCGAGCACGAGATGATTCATTATTAATGCCAGTCGGCGTCCTCCAGACATCATTTTTACTCTCTCCCTCTCTCGACATAGTGCCGCAGGAGTAAAAAAAGCTTGAGCCCCAGATACGCGAATCCTTCAGGAAGGGCAATGCAGAGGACAGTCAGAGTCTGAAGCACAGTACGATACAGTAACTAACCACACAAACACACACATCTCGTTCAATGAGCTGCTCTTAACATCTCATACTTTGTGTGCAGCAATACGGTCTCAAAGGAATGGATAAGCAAAGGCCGGTGGGTGAAAACTTGAATCTATTCCGATCTTGTTTCCAGAAGTCAGATCTCATCTCAGCTCTACATCCTTACGCTTGTGGGCCAAGCGGGCAAAAAAGCTTCTTCAAAAGCCCGAGGTTGAATGCGTATCAGCTCGATTGTGCCTAATTTGATTCATTAGAATTATGTTTTAATAAAATAAGCCCTAAAGCATGCCTTCAGCTGACATTAAAATGTTATCAAGTTGCATTATGCTGATGTGTTTGTATGTCCTGCAGACACAGAGCATCATTAGCATTGGATTGCTCTCATGATGTGGGGAAAAAATGACAGCTGTGCTAATATTTTTCTTTTAGCTCAGCTTTGGGCACCGCCTACTCTTCAGCGAAATCTTTGGGTTTTTTAATTGTTATGTTCCCGTACAAATCGCTGACTTTGTCTGCTTGGATTTTGGCACTGGGCAGCATCGAGTGTGTTTATCACGGCCTTCTGTGGTGAACAGAACTGTCTGTTGTGGCTGGAAATGATTTGATGAGACCCAGTGAATCCAAACAGTAAAGCATTGGGCAAAAACAATGAACACTTTGTTGAGCTCGAGGAAGCAGGGTCAAGTGCCAAATCTCTATGAGATTATCACTATACAGTAAGTGATACTTATCATACAGTTAATTTAAAATACAAATTAGAAAAGAGCGTAGTTCTTGGATTCAGTTTTTCTGGAAAAAAATCAAAGTCCAATGGCTGTACTGTGATTTCAGCTGCATTCACATGTAAAATGATCTCTCATGCATAAGATAAGATAGCCGTTATTTGTCCCATAGACCAGAATAAATAAATAATAAAGCATAGGAATAAAAAAAATCTCAGTAATAAGCAGGAGCTGCTGTAACAGGCTGCCACTCCCCCGGCGCCAGATGTTGAAGCAACACTGAGAGCAAGAAGTGGCAAAGGATGATCAGCGGCTAAATCTAGTGATAGAGATACTAAATTAACAACAATCAAGTGAACTGAAGCGTGACGGTCACTGCTGAGAGCGAGGGCGATGTCAGGTGGACAAGCTGAGAAATCTAAACGTTTCCATTTTAATATCGCAAAATCAAAAATCCAGCGCACCAATAGTTGGGTACAAATAAAGAAAGTAGTATTGGTCTAATTAAAGCAAAATTGCACAGAAACACTGTAAATGAAGCCTATTATCAGATCTTTGCTGAGACTTCATTTAAGCACTTATTTCATATTTTATTTGATTGATTTCATTGGTTTCAAATTTTGCAGAGGGAGACAGTAAGCTCTCTTTGCAGTTTTCTGTGTGGCATCAAGTACAAATTTGCGGTTACATTTCATAAACAAACATTTTGCAACCTCAACAACTCATAAATCTTACATTTAGCTCTCGCATACTTGGTGCCATTGCCTGCACGAGAAGCTCACAGAGAGGTCTTCATTCAGCTCCAGCACTTTCCGCACTATGTAAACAGATCAGTACCAGAGAGATTGTTTGGAGGCCACTGTCCTGACACATAACCAGGCTTCTTATTCCAGTGACCTTTACTGTTCTATTTGTTTGGCTTTTGCTTGTTTACTTTAGTTGTGATGATTTCAGCAGATACTGCTGAAAGAAAAATAGACGACTAGGCCCGGCAAAGTTCGTCATTTCTGACTTGCAGGCTTTTCAGTATTCAATATAATGTGACCCGATGACCTTTCAGAGTGGCTCCGGAGAGAGACTTGATGCAAAGTAGATGACACCGTCACCTGGATTTACTCAGTCACTAAGTCAGGCACAAAGAAGTTCTCTGACATGTATGAAACATGTATCCCATTTGTGCTTTTACAGCCTCCTGTACCTGACTTTTTCTGTCACTGTGTTAAAGTATCATGAAAGGAGTATGGTGCTCAGTAGCTGGGGTCAAAGTTTACTTTCCTTGTTGCCTTTTATGGTGACCTTTTGCTGGTGGTGACAGAAGATCAGGTTTAATACAGGCATGTTTACATGTGTTTAGGCATGTTGGCCAGGTTGCGATTGTTGCATTACCTTTTACCTTTTTACACCTCAGGCTTAGGAAATTATGGAAGACCTTAATTCTTTACTCTCAGAGCTCTTTAGATTATTAGCCATACAATATGTGTGGAATTAAGGCTGGAAACCAATCCAATGCTGTGGACCAGATAAAAAGTTTATTTAATTTATTGGCATGAATTTTTGCACAAAAAACCCAGGGAATTTGTCCAGTGACCTTGGTGATCCTGTTACTGTTCATATTGCACCAGAGTGAGAAATATCTCAGAATAATTGCATCAGTTCCTGTAAAATTTACAGATATTTGACAGCGGGACAAGTACTCATGTCTGATTCTCTAAAATCACCATACGCACACGTTAAAGACGTTTTACATTTACATGTAAAGTGATCTCTCAGAGAGCAGCAGGAGGTCTCTACTTTTTATGTCTCCCTCTGTGCACCGCTGCTCTCTGTCACTCGCTCCACCCCATGAGCACATCAGACGGGGAGAGA